ATGTTCACAACTTTGGGATTTTTTTACTCCCTTAAATGAAAACACCCCCCCGTAAATTTTTGTATACGGGTTATTCTAAGAGTGCTAAACTCAAATATGAATTTTAATTTGCGTTTCGAGTTGCAAAAATCGGTCATTTTTCGATTTTTAAATCTATGGCTAGAATCTATGGCTAACTTCACAACCGTAATATATTAGCTGTTATAACGGAAGAAGTTCATCCAAATATATGTATTTTCTGTTGCGACTAGTAACGGCACGCTGAATAAGTTATATTCAAGAAATGAATTTCAACTAGCTCCTAATAAGTTTATAAATGTAACTAATGTCTCCAACAAGAAAGTGGCAGTTCGACAAGAAGCAATGATTTCATCGGGATACGGTTAACGGCAGGGCAGTGGCATAAAACATGCTCAACCGTCTCTGTTTCTTCCGCACATAGTCGGCATACAACATCGTCAGCTAAACTCAACAAGTTGAGGTGTGTTTTTAATCGGCAGTGCACAGTAAAAACACCCATTAGAACTTTTATGCTACTGCGGGCATGTCTTATTCCAGGAGAACTGGTACACAGTAGGCGAAGTCTCTCTTCAGCTCACAGTCCAATCCTATATTTGGCCATCGCAAATGATACACCAACTGCTGGTTCCAGCCCCACAAACTCTTCAGCGCTGCCATCTTGTGCTAGCTTATCTGCCGCTTCATTGCCAGCAACCCCAGAGTGATCCGGGACCCAGATCAGAGAGACTCTGTTATCACAACTCAGTGTGTTTAATGTTCTCTTAAAATCATTAACAAGAACCGACACCGTTTTCACGGCTTGCAGCGCCTGGAGAGCGGCTTGACTGTCTGAGAAAATTCGCACTGTCATGTTCTTCACCCCTCTTACAAGAAGGATTTTAGCACCCATGTCAATAGCAAATACTTCCGCCTGGAATACAGTACAGTACGTACCCAGGCTGTAAGCTTGCTTAATTCGAGGTGTGTGGCAGTATACTCCTGCTCCGACCCCTTCAGGCATTTTTGATCCATCTGTGTACAAGCAAATATCTGCCTGAATCAGAGAATTTTCATTTTGGATCCAGGACTGCTGCTCAGGCAGTACAATCTGGTATCGAGCATTAATCACTGATAGTGATACCGCTAAATCTGACGGCATTGATAGCACAGTATCAGTGCTTATAATGTCTTCGGCAGCCCATTGGTAGGACATGTCGGAACAGTTTTGAGCATATTGCTTAAATCTGTAAATGGTTGTTCTAGCCACTTTCTCTATATGCAAATGCAGAGGAGATAGGCCAAGCAGAACCTCCATTGCTAGAGTTGGCGTTGTGCTTATCGCACCAGAGATTGCCAATCCGGCTACTCGTTGAATTCGTGAAAGTTTACTGATAACTGAAGTCTGTCGGACTTTCCTATACCAGGCTGCTGCTCCGTATGTGATCATAGGTCTAACCACAGTCACACAGAACCAGTTTTCCCAAACCCCAATTTTCTCCAAATGTCCATTCCATGACAGGGTTTTGTCTAGGATTACACCTAGATATTTGACTTCCTTTGGGAAAGGAATTTCTTGACCTAGGATAGTTGGGCGGATTAGTCCATCCCCGGCCTGAAGCGTATCATATCACCGTGGAGTGAAGTAGAAACTATTCTACTATCAAGCATATTGCGGATCCAACCCGCTATAGTTGCTTCCACTCCCCTGTCAAGAGCAGGTCTTTCAAGAGATTGTGGTATTGCGTTGTTGAACGCTTCCTCTATATCCAGAAACGCACAAACCAATATTTCTTTATCCTGCGGCGTCCTGGATACTCTACCAACTAAGTTGTGTAGAGCCAATCCTGCTGATTTTCCCGCTTGATAAGCATACTGGTGGCGACTCAGTGGACCAGATACCAATGGCACCGTACGGATATACCGTTCCAGAACTTTTTCAAGGGTTTTCAGCAAAAATGACGTTGGGCTGATGGGTCGAAAGGCATTAAGAGTAGGGACCGAACGGCCCGCTTTGGGTATATAAGGTACTCTCACCTTGATCCATTCTGTCGATACATATTTTCAAGCGACACTCGCTCTGAAAATTTTTACCAAAATTGGCAACAATAATGACCTTCCTTGCTGTAACAAAGCAGGAAAGGTATTGTCTTCTCCAGGCGATTTGAACGGCTTAAACGTTCGAATCGCCTGGTCCACGGATATGCAAGTGACGACTTTTCTAGCCACACTCCAATCCGTATTTGAGGGGCGCTTTGCCTTGCAGAAATAGCCCGCTGTGGCATTACCAGCCCTCATCATCAAGCTTCCTGGGAAGTGAGTCTGCATGAGAAGCTCTAACGAGGCTCTACTAGAGTCCGTAAAACTACCGTCAGGCCGCTTAAGTGAGCCCAGGTTTAGTGCCGGATCTCTAGCGAGAATCTTGTGAATTCTTGCACTGCTGGGTGTGTCTTTCACTTCCTCACAGAACCTCCTCCAAGACTGTCTTTTTGCCTTACGTATGTTTTTGGTGTAATTCGTTAGAGCCATGTCTATCTACACTATATATATATATATAGTATATATGTCTACACAAACTTTACAGTGTTCTGGCCAAAACAAAAATTTGAAAATTTAGATTTAAGTATTATTTAAGTCGCCACCTACTTTATTTTTTTTAATGGAATACCCTATATGTTTTTACATATTTGGATTTGTCTGTTTTGAAGGTTTATGAATTACTTTACTTTTTGCAATTTGATTCGGCCGTTCTCGAGTTATTCGAATTTTTCTAGAAAAATCTGCTTCAGCAGACATTTGTTCAAAAAATCAGAGAACACTCGATTTTTGGGATATCAATTTAGCATTCAGAACATGCTTAAGCAACATGATGGAGTATGTTTTGGTGCCGAGTACGGCTGTGTAGAACGTTTGGTCACTTTTCACACTCCTTTTCGAAACTTGGAAGTATCATAACTTAATTTTTTTAAATCGCACCCCCCATATTTTATTACGTAGTCGTCTTCGGTGTCTCATTTTACATCTTTTATATCCCATATGTCCTATACCTAACATTTATAGTTTGGGAGATAATTAGGGTTTTTTGAAAAATGCACATACATCATATCGATATTTAACCTAGTGAATAACCGAATGAAGTGGAGGTTTGAAAATTTGAAGACTTGTGATGTTTGCTGCCAGCTTTTTAAGTACAATCTTTTCAGGTTCCGGGTACTTGTGGTTACACCGGAAGAGGTGACAATTTTCATATTTCAAATGGAACACCCTGAGTTGTATTACATTTTTCAATCAAAAATGTCAACTACAACGTTCCTTTTTATAATTCATAAAAAGTGAATGAAAATTGGAAGGGAGGGCAGGTGTGGGACGAATAGAAAAAACTCTTCTGCGTGAACTTGGTATAAAAAGCGCAAAATTAACTCTAAAGTTCCACAAATACCAAAATCAAGTCGAAGAACAGAGAAACAAAGCCTTACTGTCAATTAAGAGTCCCCTATTTTTCAAGCTGCACGGTTTCGACGGCTTTGTTTTTCTGTTCTTCGACTTGATTTTGGTATTTGTGGAACTTTAGAGTAAATTTTGCGCTTTTTGTACCAAGTTCACACAGAATAGTTTTTTCTAACAAATGTTTCTAATTTTATAATAAATGTTCACCTGTTTTCTGATTTTTTATAAATGTTACTTGAATGGAACTCTTTTAGAAAAATTTGTCATTTTCAAAACTTGTTTAGAGAGACTTCCTTTTTCATGCTTTTGTATACTTATAATAGAGAATATATCCGATACTCTCCTCAGATTTCTCCTCTCATCTCCCTGTCTGACGTCGTGTTTGATAAAGACCACCTGGTTGGTTGAAACATTAATGTAGCACTGATTTAATAAATAAAAAATATTATCATATTTTGGAATTTTAATAAGTGGATACTTTTTGGTGTCCACAACATGTTTTGAGTAAACGTTAAATACACACAACGCGTTTTAGATACTTTTTGTTGTCCACAATGCGCAAAACTGGTTAATTTCGGCTATTGAGTGAACCTAAATACCCTCAACGCGCTATGAGTATTTTCCGCTGCTCAATGACCGAAGAAATTGCTCAGAACGCATTGTAATCTGTTAAGCTTACCCACAACCCCTTGTAGGTAAAAAATTCGGACAAAGTCCGAACTCGGGTATTACGAGTAAAATATATACTAATAGTGGTAAATCATTTTATTACAATATCTTATTTCCAGGTGTATTACAATGACTTTTCTGCCTGATTGCATTTAAGTGGTTCTCTTTAAACATATCTTTATGGATTTTCTTTTCAACTCTTCTTTCCCGTCGGTATTCTTTCAATAATCTCTTCCTTTCTTTTTTCTCTTCAGGACTTTCATCTTTAGGTCTTATAGATAATACAGATAATGTTGATACAACTGAATATTCTCCCACAGATTTTGATCCTACTTTCTTATTTATTTCATCATATTCCTCATTTAACTTTGATAATGCTTTAGCTGTTAATTTGTTTTCATTAATTGGCATTCCTGTTTTCATGTTTATTCTAATTTTAGATTTATGAGGTAGTTCAATAACTTTAGGATGATTGTATAAATTTGAATATGTGCTTAAAATTGATTCGCAATCCCATTTTTCTTTGTTTTCTTGAACCATCTCAACAAGTTCTTCTTCTAAATCAGAATCAATTATTTTTAATTTATTGACAATAGCTTCTTTATCTAATTTTTCTCTTGATTGCTGTTTTTCAAATTCATCAGCGTATTGGAGAAGTATATCTGAGTTTTGAGGTACAAATCCTTCTATATCTTCACAATCTAAAGCACCAATTTCATTTTCGTCATATCCTTCATACATTTTTTCAAATCGATCATCAAGTAATGATAATTGCTTATTTCTTCGAATAACTGAACTACTCATTGAATAATCTGTAAATCTTGACTTAGTTTCTTCATCTTTGAAAGTAAATTGTGGCCCATCTAATGATCCAAGTTCATCATCTTCTTCAGAACCAAAATCAGAAGATACATCTTCTTCTTCCTCGATCATTTCATCATCAGAAATTTCAGCATTTGCCAGTTCTATAAAGTTATCTTCAAGTTCATTTTCTGGATCGGAAAAATTAAAATCATCATCCATAGCTGCTACTACATCGGGATCTAAATCAAGTCTTAATCCTGATTGAGGGGCAGCTTTATTAAGTAACCCCACATCTTCTTCAACTTCTGATGCAAAAACTGAACTTGGTAATTTTAATTTTGTTTCCTTATCAACAGTTTTCTTTTGTACCGGTTGAACTTGTTCCCATTCTGTAGTTCCTGATTCACGCAAGTGTTGAAGATAATTGTAATCATCGTCAAAATAAATTCCATATTTTTGTTGTTCTTCAAGACGTTTATCACTCTAAAACCCGTAATGAAAATAACTGGGTATTAAATATTATTGTTTAATGTAAATCGATTAATTACCTTTGATTTTTCGGCCACTAAAACTCTTTGTGGTGCACTATCATCTGCAGCTAAAGGATCTTGTTGACTTCTATGCACAAGATGGAAAGTTACCGCTTTTTTACGGTCTATAAACTTTTTCTTGGGCTAAAATAAAAAAAATGATTTTAGGAAAAGTTTAATATCAACAAATTCATATAATTACCATTTCAAATTGAATAAAATCTCAATTTGTCGATTCAAAACAATGTGAAGGACAACTTAACCTAACTTATAAACGTCAACGTGACTTCTAGAATATAGTGAAGTGTGCAACATGACACGGCTGCCAACAGCGAATTACTAACAATGAACTATTTTTTATTTAAAACTTGTTTAAATAAATTAAGCTTTGTTGATTTATTTTTTATAATAATACATAATAAAAAATTAATACATGATGATTTATCACAAGAAGATGACTTCATAGATAATGTATAGATGTGACATTAGCGTTGAATTTTTGTCCCTCAGCACCGTCATCTAACGGCTAGTCCCCGTACTACTACCAAATACCGCCAATTTCAATTGTGACATTTTCAATTTTAAAAGCACTTTCCAGAAAAATGTTTTGATTTTAGGACAATTAAGAAGTGTATGATGTGTACTTCAAAATTTTATTTAAATATTGTTTGTTGTAAAAGAAAAATACAGTGTTGAACAGTAAAAAAACTAAAAACATAGACAATAAACCAATCTTACAATTAGACAATAAAGAAAGTTTTCTATTTATAAAGCAATAAACCGAAATAATAATAAGCAAAATAATTGAAAATTACAACTTAAGTAGTTAGAAATGTTAAGAATATCACAAAAACTCACATTAATTTAGACGTGTGTACTGTAATTTGGAATAGAGGTGTTCTCTACTGCATTATAATTTATGTTGAATAAAGTCGTTTATTATTACTATTATTACTATATTGTTACTATGTTGTTCCACAAAGAATGAACAAATCTGTAGTTCTTGTTGTATTGAGTTCCAAACTTACTATCTCTTATCATACTCCTATCTATCTGACCTAAATAAAATCCTAAATCTAAATAAATACTACTATTCCTTGTTTGTAATTACTATTCCTTAATAGTAATTCCATCCAATATGTTCCTTAGGGAAATGCTTTCCACAAACACCAACATTTCTGTAAATTCTCATTTCTTCATATGGCCACAATTGTTGCTGTCCACTTTGTACAATACACCGTTAAAATATTTGTGGATATACAGAGTGTTTCGGTGACTCGGGGAACAAATTTAATCACATATACTAGAGTGAAAATGACGACGATACATGTAAAAAAAAATTAGTAAAAATCTTTACGTCGTTTCGTAAAACCTATTTTACGAAACTTAATATACTATTATTTGACAGTAAGTTAAAATTCTAATTATAGATCTTTATTTTTTATCTTTTTAATTTTGTATGGATTGACTTATTTAAAGAATTTTTGTAATTGTGATTTCTTGGTCATGTAGATTCGGCTGATGATGACCTTATAAATTAGGTTGAAACCGGTACCGAGGAATTGAATAAACATATAGCAAGAAAGAAGTTTATATCCAATTGTTTTATTTAAATTGTAGTCTTTATGGTCCGAGGAAGGTATTCAGAGTCCGTCCTGCTGGAAGATCCGCCCGAAGAAGCATCGCACGTGAAGACCGACTCCTTAAGCGGATGGCTACCAGGGATCGATTTCAAATTTCAAACGATTTCTTCCTTTGGGATGCTTCCATAACACCTCCCCATAAAGCAGCCAGACTTGCATGGTGTCAAGACCGGCGAGAGTGGGTTTATCAATGGAATGACATAGTCTTCAGTGATGAATGGGTGAATGATGGTCGTAAAAGGGTGCGGCGACATCGCGAGGAAAGACGGAATTTGGAGTTCGTTCAAAGACGACACACAGCCTTAACACCTAGAGTTATGTTTTGGGGGGCGATATGTGCTGGAAGAAGGTCACCCCTTACGTTCATTCCATGCACATTAAACGCACGTCGTCGGTACATCGACAACGTTCTGGAACCGGTGTTAGTACATTTCATGCAGACGTTGCAGAATGCCAATTTCCAACAGGAGAGCAATGCAAGACCCCATACTGATGTGGTTACAAGAAGGTTCCTGGAGCAGGTTGGATTGTAGATTTTGCCCTGGCCTGCACGGTCACCGGACTTGTCGCCGATTGAACATGTCTGGGATATGATGGGTCGGCGACTAAGCCAAGTACCCAGGCCTCCTGAGAATCTGGATGAACTTCGACACCATCTAGAGGTTGCATGGAGGTGGCATACCCCAGGATCGATTACTTAATAGAGAGCATGGGTAGACGAGTTAATGCATGCATAGCTGCGCGTGGGGATACAACCCACTGCTATCTTTTCCTTGAAAAATGTTGATTTTTGTTTTGTTTTTTTCAACTAAACTTTCATCGTTTCTTAGTTGATAATAAAGCATTATTTTACCGAAGTTTCAAAATTGTAGTCTAATTCTTAATGGGTGGTGTATTTCATGTGAATGTGAGTGTGTGTGGCGGAATTTTATAGAAGTAGTGGTAAAGTAAGAATTGAGATAATACTAAAACTAAAAGATTTAAAACAACTTATAAGTTATAATATAAGACACATATTATAAAGTTGCAAAGATATAATAACAGTAATTTATTGCGAGTCCATCACCTTTTGCTTTAATTAAAAAATTTAATGTTACCAGAAAAATTATTAACTGTAATACCTTTAATATCAAATTAATGCCACCTCTCGCACTGTGTCCGGGTTCGGCCTAATTTAAAGTAAGAGAACACCCCATGGGGAATTCCCCGAGGTAATTGAAATGGCAGAGCTTCGTACAGACATTTTAAAACCTTGTGTGATTTATTGTTTATTCGCAGTTAGTAGTCTGATACCGGTAGATTGGTTAGCGAAGTTTAACGAGAACGTGTAAACAGTCAATTGTCCAACCTTCATAGTCAACACCCGATTTCGGAACAACAAAGGGCGATGATACTGAGAGCTGTAGTAGGCTACCTGTAGTAGGATTATAGAAAGAGTAGTGTATCTTCTTTTCTGTCAGCTTCAAAGGAAGATAGTTGTAACCATTGTCCATGTCATACCCATTGGTGATAATGATCTGGTATTATCTTGATTAACACTTACAATTTTTAAAAATGTTTTGAAATATTTGTTGGCTTCTCATCTATTGTTATTTTGGCTGTTATAATATGAAAATATTTTCGTACATGTATTAGCTATGGCTAGAACCCAATGATTACCATTTATTAAAACCGGAAATATCAAAACCTATTTTAAATTAAATTTAAATTTTTTTTATTACATGAAAAAATTTGATATTTACTACTATTATGTGTAGCACTCTAATTTTAACGAAAATCAACTTAGGGATGTCGAAGCTATATCTACACCAAATTTCAACTCAGTAACTCACGGCTAAGGGGTAGATTTTATTTTTTTCTTTTTCACTTAACATAGCGAATTTCAACTATTTTTATTAGGATTGTTGTAAACATTATTTCTTTCCATTTTATTTTAAACAAAGTAAAATACTTTTATCTACGACTGCTTGGATAAGTCATCATTACCGCACTCATTTGAGGTGATTTGAGTTACGTAATGAAGTTCATTACCGCACTGGTTTCATTACGTAACGCATTTTTAGCCTAATCAGAACAGACTTAATTTATTGAAACGAGCAACAATATAAAAGAAAAAGTGCTATCTACTTACAGAGAAACAATACTATTTATTATAAACATTAATTGTTATGTTTTTACATTTCAAAACACTTATTCCAGATGAGTAAACATGTTGTTGAAACTGACAATTCAAAATTGTCAACAATCATTTTTGTCATCATCAAATATTTTTATAAATGTCAAATAGACTTTTCTAAAGAAATTGATTTTTTAGTAATTTTTAGCAATCGTAGATAAAATGCTGTATATCACACGTGGGCTAGAGCATAATTACAGTACTCGTGTGATTACACGACTCGGTCTACGACCTCGTCGTGCAATTCTCCACACTAGTACTGTAATTATGTTTCTAGCCCACTTGTAATATAAATAACTATTATCTGTCTGTACTTTTATTAAAATGAATTCACTGTTATAAATTCTACCGGTTTCGGCTTATTTACAAAACCATCTTCAGGAACCTTCGAATTTCGTCAATTTATTTTAAAACTCTCGTGAAAATTAGCAATTGAAATTTCTATTAAACGTTTTTTATTTATTGAAATGCGTCTCTGTCTTTATTATTGGTAAATTGCGTGTTAAGTTTGAACTATCGAACAGGATTAAGTGTGCACGTGTTTGTCATAATTATAGGTCCTAACCTATAATATTATAGACTATTAGAGACTATTATTATAGACTATTAAACTATTATTATAGGTTAGGACCTATAATTATGCTGAATTATCCTTTTTGCCCAGCTGTGTATGTGTACAATAATGAACATTTTAATAATTTGTTTCTTCAAACGAAAGTACTCTGGCTGTCTAAGAGAAACTGTTTGCAGCGTTTTATAGAGATTTTTAATACCGTCGTGGAGTTTTTGTTTGATGTTGACAATGAAATGGCGACACAATTACTCCAAGTTAAAAAACACATTTTCTATTTGGCTAATATTTATTCATTGTTCAACGTTACACAAAATAAACTACAAGGAAGAGACGTTCACCTTATTGAAGCCAGAACGGGATCTTTGGGTTTCGTTCTAAGATTGACTTGTTTATATCGACATTAAACCGAAAAGAATTTCGATACTTTGACAATCTGAAGCTATTGTCCACCATTGAGAAAGATTGCATTTTAACGGAAGATATAACATTATACAGTATGTCCCCGGATCGAGTTACAAAGAGGAAAAAAATTTTTGTTACCGATTTTTCAAACTTATCACAACATAAATAATGCGTCGGATATGTTCAAACTACTAATCGCATGAATTTTATTCTCTAACTATAAAAGTTAACTAATTATTCCCATTTTTATGTAAAAATTGGACTTTTCTAAATTGAAATTTTTTCAAGTTCAATTTATGATATGTAACCATAGAAACCATAAAAGTTATAACTTATGTTAGTGAAAATATACGGACAAATCAAATTAAAATATGGCTAATTGAATGAAATATTTGAAATGTAAATTTATGTAATAACATACTATGTACACACTATGTATTTGTAAGTGAACAAATCCTCATTCAAACAAATTCCCTCCCAATTCGGCACACATTTGAAGACGAGTTCTAAATTCTTTATAGGAAGTACGAATTTCCGCCAGTGGTAGAGATTCTATCGCTTTAAT